TCGTTGCATTTTTGGTCTCAGGGAATATCTACTATAGTATCTATCTATGAACTCGTATAAACAACACTATCGATTTGAAAGAAATTCAGAAAGGTATTTAGACTAGAAAGGGGCTTAGAGTGAAACAGTGTATATGAGTGCTTTAAGTCATACCTACATATTTGGACATGACCACGATCCTTACTGTACATATTAGAGGAACGACCTTCTTAAGAATGTACATTACGTATTCATTCAGTGTAGGAGATACAACACAATGATGTACAGCCTAAGTGCTATACTTGGAGAGATCGCTACGACTGATAACGACATAAACTTATACGACATATGTTAAATTCGCAGTACAAATGAAGACTAGAATCAAATATGGTGACTATAGTAATGAGAGAGCAAGGATAATATGAAAGATGTACAAATGCATCGAATAAGTGAGTATCTAAAACCAAGCTGTCTCAAATAGAATTGTTATTGAAAGGTATTGCCCGGTAACAGAGTGATTTGTAGAATTAACAGGTCGCGTTATGGTTACAAAAAGTTCACTTGGACCATCTTGCCGTCTTCAATAACCTCGCTGTCTTCTTCTTAAAAAAAAGAAATACATAAAACGATAACAAAGGGTTTATGCTCTATTTAGTTGGAATAGTTATTAAATGGTTGTTTCCCACTTTCAAAGAAGCTAAATAGATCAGTTCATTGAATTCATTAACTTTTAAAAAATGAAGCAAAAAAATCATAGCATATAAATCAATGAGAACAAAGACTCTATGCTGTACTCAGGAGCACATATATTTTGTATAGACAATCAAACTAATATCGTACTTGATTTGTGTTTCGGAGTTTGCTGTATGTGCACTCGAGGGAATTACAGACTTGATCTTAAATAAACTAATTTTACTTTTATTTTTAATAACTTTTCTAATTAAGTTCATATTCAAGCATACAAAATATTATTTAAAACAAGTGAAGCAAGTTTTAATTTACAGATACTAGAGTTTCACAAAGTTTTCTTAAGTAATATAAATAAATAGTAATAATGTTTAATTTGAACTTTTTATTCATTTAAAGTGCTTTCTCATAAAATTTACAAAACTTTGAGTTCATTTGCATTTTTATTTTACACTTAAGTAAGCGCATTATTCAAACATGATTCCACCTCTTAAATTTACAAATTCAATTTGTATGCTTTTCTCATCTAACTCAACTCCAGCTCGGTTCAGTTCAGCTCAGCTCAGCTCAACTCAACTCGACTAAACTCAAGTCAATTCAAAAAAATAAATAATATTACAATTTAGCCCTTTAGTTATAGTGGTACTATTTTAGTTATAGAGGACGAGGAAAACAACAAAAACAAAATCCTTAAAAGGAAAATCATATTCCAGTACCAAAACTACATTCAACCGGTTTACAGCAGAAAAAAAAAGATGAAGTGGAAAAAAAAGTGAAAACCCATCGCAAATATATTCGCATAAATTCACCGCAAAGCAGTAGTCGAAATCATCGTCGTCATCGTCGTCGTCGTCATCATCCTCGTTGTCGTCGAGGTCACCAGAGCAAACGGAGCAGAATATGTAGTAACACTTTCGAACATATTCTGTAACCAAACAAAATACTAGAAACATGCAGAAAAAATATTTGCAAAAAAGAAAGCATGAAAGAATTATAAAAATATGTTCCGGAAACTGTAGTAAATTTTCATTTATGTCCAATTCAACTTTTCCACTTTATATCCTTCTTTATGCTAGTGTCACATCCTTTCTTAAACCGCGTTGTGCTTCTCACAAATGAAGCACAAGCCGTTTACTCATGAAGCGTTGCATTGAGTTCTGGTTTGACGGTAGTGCTGAAGATGACGAAGACGAGGACGATGACGTTTCTGACTGTGATGATTATAAATAGAAAGAAAGGAATAAAAAATACACAAAAAAGTGTATCAAAAGTACACGAAGCAGAAACATAAAAGAAAACATTGAAATCAAAGAAATCCTGTTGCAGTGAAATGTTGCAATTGCAATTGCAGACAAACCTTAAGACAACCGCTTATATGGATATGCCGAAAAGGACACCAAATTTGAATTCATAAGTATTTTCATTCGTATGGAGTGTACGAAATATCCTGCTAACACGTTTGTGTAAATGCAATGCAATTCTCTCTGCCTGTCTTTTTTTGATGTTGCCGGCATCCATGTGAGCAGTGTTCGCGTTTTGAATAAAATGTGCAGCAATATGGAACATCCGAAATGCACATATAAAGGATATAAGGAATAAATGCACGCAGTTGTCGTTGAGCGCAACGTTCTGTAAGCTACTGACGATGATGGCAAAGTCACTGCTAAATAATAAAATGAACTGTTATAAAATAGAATACATAAATGAATGAATGGGCGAATGGGCAAATGGGACTCCTAAAGGATTTTCGAAAGTCCCAAAACTGCTTACTAAAATTATAATAAATACACAATAAGAAATTTTACACATTTCTTTTGTGGTTACTATAAAAATTAAAAAAATATGGCTTGTCTCAGGGTTTATGGAGTTCTCGTTTATAAGCAACAAGCAGAATATTTATAAAGCCTCATAAAATATAAGTTAAGGTTATATAGACAATTAGAAGCAACTATATGGTATATGAACTGAAAGTTGTAGAATAAGCACTCATTTATTTACCCTAAGAAAGTTATTAAAATAAGAATATAAGAGGAAGAAAATAAGAAAATCAGAATATTCAGACTTGGCTTATTTTAAATGTAGTAGTAGTAGCTCTACAAAAGTAGCTCCTTAGACCCGATGCGGATGTAATACATTCAGTAGGGAAAGGATAATGTTATAGAGAATAATAAAGTTTTTATAAATTTTCAAGTTTTAGTTTCCAGATTTAATTGAAAACTTCAATGTCTACTTACAAGGTCTATACTTCTATGAGCGGCACTCTGATGCCCCCATCATACCACTCCACAACCGTGGCTATTGTGGCTCTGGTCATAAGTCAGTATATTACTAACTTATCTCCTGTGCTTGCGCAATAATCCCACTCTCTCCACACACTTTCCATCCACTTGTGCCATGCTCATGCTATACGTTAGTTATATGTTTGAATATATTATTCTGCTTAGGAGGTAGCGAGGTTTATCTAACACGAATGTTGTTCTATGGAGACATTATCCAGTAATTAAAAGCAGCACTACATCAAATGGAAGTAAATGTATGCTTTCATATTATCCGTGTAACTTTGGCTTCAACTACAGCCACTATACTCTTATGAGGGCTAACCACAATTATTTTAGACAGTCCTGACCCTCGTGTTACCAAATTTATATCACCGGTCAGGTATCGCAAGTGAAGCTCACTTACTAGCATGGAAACTCGAAACAGTAACGGGTGGTTCTTACTCTAATCACTTTGAGAATATTATAATTTCTTTCCTATGAGTTAGGGCTTATAAATACAAGATGTGAACGAGCAAGTAATAATTGGAATACTAGTTCGAAATAGAGACCAAACGTAAAAAACTAAGTAAACAACACTGTTTCAAATTTGCTGAATATCAATTTGAAGATTTTGCAATATCATGTAAAGCTAGAGTTGTGTATTAGTTTTTGTTAAAAAACTCTAGGTATTTGATCCACCAAGTGTTATACACTTCTTACATAAAAGAACCAAAATTTCTTTTTATTGCTCTTTATTATCAATTATTTATTTCAAATTTTATCTTTAAACAATTCAAAATAAAATGGACGAATTAACAAGGAACTGAGTTCGTGGACGATATCATAACCGCTTAAATAAAAATCTTCCACTTTAAATTTTTATACCATTAGTGACCTTAAATACATACAATTCAGCATAAGTACATGAAATACAACAATTAACTAACCTGTGAGCAGGAAACATCAGCAGGATCTTCACATTTGCCATTGTGCACATTATAGTAGAGCCCAGAAGAGCAACTAC